GAGCTTTCAGAACCAGTGCTAGGTCCCACGGCGGCACCAATGGTGGGCATGGGGGAAGTAATATACTTGCTCCCCTGAGAAATCTGACCACCAGCATGTGCCTCCCAATCGATTGCCTGTCAACCGGGAAACGAATCGAATCAATAGCGGCCACGTAAACCTTTAGCATTGATGGTAGACTCCCGTTATCTAGCCTGTGCTGCAGAAAACATAAAACGTCCAACATGGGACAGCTTGATGGGTCGATATCTCAATCACAAGATTCAGTGAGCGTGTCAAGCACCCGAAGAAGCCACACATGAAGGCTCCACAGCTCCGGGCTCAGGTGCCATATCGAGCCGTTCGCTTGAGACAGCAGGTCCCTCCTGAGGGGGATTTGCCAAGGTGGAGCCACCAGCATCTCCCTGAGGTCCGGAAACCAAGGTTGATTCAGCCAGTTCGGATGGATCACTGAAACAGGATCACTGATGCTCTCTCTTCCCTGATTTTGCGTAGCACCAGAGGCAAAATCTTCACCGGAGGGAACGCATTAAGTCTGGCTCTCGGTCAGTGCGACGTCAGAGTGTCTCCCATCAGCGGGGAGTGAGACAGCAAAAAGAACAGCAGTCAGTGTGTGTTCAAGCTTGTCTCGAATAGATCCACCTCTGCCCTCCAGAAGTGGTCCCAAATCATCCGAACCAGACTAGGAGGCAGCCTCCACTCCCCGTGAGGCATTCCGTTCCTCGAAAGCATGTCCGCTCCGTGGTTTAGGAGACCAGGGATATGCGCCGCTGTGATGGAGAGTAGATGACGATCCGCCCATAATAGAAGAATTGGAACAGTCTGCTTGAAAAGGGCTCTGGAGTGCACGCCACCTCTGCGATTTATGTACTAAACCACAGACATATTGTTGGTGTGAATCAGCACATGTCGCTGTTCCAGCTGTGCCAGAAAAGGCACTAGGGCTAAGGACACTGCTTTCAGTTCCAAGCGGTTTATGCGCCACCTGCTCTGAGACTCTAACCACAGGCCTGAAGTCGGTACGCCCTCGCATACTGCTCCCCAGCCTGAGGTCGACGTATCTGTTGTAACCACAGTGCGTACTGTCACCAGTCCCAGGAGAACCCCTCGGCTGAACATTTCTGGGTCATGCCACGGTCTCAGAGCGCTGACGCAGCTGTGTGTAACCATGATGTGCATATGACCTGTGGTCCATGCTCTCCATGGAACTCAAGTTTTCAGCCACAACTGTAGTGGCCGCATGTGCAGAAGAACCAGGTGGCAAACTGATGAGGCCGACACCATAAGTCCCAGAAGCCTCTGAAATTCCCTCAAGGGAACAGACGGTTCATTCTGAAGCAGTGCAGAGCTGATGAAATGGTCGTTATGCACTCTATAGAGAGTTGAAACACACACCCAGATATGCTATAGATCATGCTATCATGCTCAGCACCCAGTGCGAAATGCCTGGTATAGCTATCCATCCATCTAGGAACTGACATAGAGGCCGAGTCTCTCTGGGCACTATGGCACGCTGGCAGCGATGTTCATAGACTGGCGTCCTGCCGCGGTGAAACTAAACGCACTGGCGGGGAAACAGTTTGTGGTTGGACAACACTGGGAGGTCTGCTGTCACGGTGGGGGCTCCTCCTCTGTCCGTGACACCTTTTCCCGGGTACCGTCCACTGCTTGCGGCAAACATCCGGCTCATGTCGAGGAGCCACGGAGGACGTGGCAGGCTGCTTAGCCGTTCTCTGAGCGGAGTGGGTTGCAGAAGAGGAGTGTGATCTTAACAGTGGATGGAACGCGCGCAGGGGTATCAGGTGACTCATCACCTTCATGTGCTTTTGCGCCTCAGAGAAGTGCTCGACAACCGACTCCACAGTGTCACCATAGAGACAAGAGGGAGTGATTGGAGTGTTGAGGAGTGCCTTACGGTCAGATTCCTTCAGGTCAGATAGGGTCAGCCATAGGTGCCTGTGAAGGACTAACATGAACTCCATGGAACGACCGATGGCTTGAGCAGAGCACTTTGTTGCCATCAGCGTGAAGTCGAGCATACTCCTGGCAGGTTTCTCTGGAGCATCCCAGTTGAGGTCGAGTTCCTTAACAGCTTTCGCGAGGACCCTGGCGAAATCCTCCTGGAGGTCTGGGGGGCCCTCAGTGTTGGGGCGAACCCTTTTCTGACACTGAGACATGAAGTCTTCGTCTTCCTCAGGGTTTCCAAATTAAACGACGTCCGCAAAGGCCGGGGGAGGGGTGGGGGGATATGTTGGCCAGTCCTTTTCGTCAGCCAAAGGACTGGCCCGCAGGCTTGTCAGTATTTGAATGCGATTTGCATAATTAACGACAATTGGCCAGTTTATTTTACTAGCGTTATCCTATTAAGTTTCAGGATTTTCAGGGAAGGGGAGGAGGTCCCACTGCGAATGCTTCACAACATAGAGTGAATGCTCGAAAGGGAACGCATGATTTTAGCACGATAGACATGATAATCAAAACCAAACAAAGTATCTGAGGTACGAGGTGTAAAGGCACAGCCCTATCCTGTAACAGTATCCTGTAACAGTAATAACAGTGCCTCTAAGATTGTTACTGTACTAACTAATGAACATATACGTTATTTCAGTGTCAACCAAAACAGACATTAAAGTGATACTCAAAATACCCAAAAATGAAAAATCTCTCATCATTTACTCACCCTCATGTTGTCCAAGATGTACATGAATTTCTTTTTTCAAATGAACACAAAAATAAAGTCCATATAAGTCACTCTGGGTCCATATAACCTAAGTGGACGGGATCCTCAAAGTTGACACTTAAAAAAACGTGCAAAACAAACACGAAAGTAAACCGTAAGACCTCAGTTGTGTGTGGGAAAAATACTAATATTTTCAACTTACCTCTATAAACTATCACTTCCGGCCAACTGTCTTATGTACGTTTGCTTGACGTAAACGTCAACATATTGTGATGTAAGCACAGTGCTAAATTTGTTCAAGTAGTGATGGTCCTCTGTGCTTCCATGGTGTCACACAAAACTATAGTTACACTTCAGAAGACATCGATTCATCAACTGGGGTCTTGTGGACTACCGTTCCATTTGTTCTGTGTGGTTTGTGAAGTGTCAGCTTTGAGGGTCCCATCCACTTGCATTATATAGACTCAAAAAGGTGGATGATTTTTCTGAAAATCTCTGTTTGTGTTCATCTTAAAAAAGAAAGACATGTAATGAAAGACATATGGGACAGCATGATGGTAAGAGAATTTTAATTTTTGGGTGGAGCATTCCTTTAATAAAATCAAACCCTATTATACTATTATACTCTTTAAAATTCAACACTTGATCAAAGAGCATGTCAAGCTTGTCAAAGTAGAACCAAGTTTACTTGTCTCTGGCCACCTTGTGTTGATCTCTATGTGACATACTCTCAGCCGATGCTGTCAGAATAGAAAAACAGCCAGCATCCTATTTCCCGCATCAGTTTGTACTTGTGCTGTAAATCTAGCTCCCTGTAATGCTTGTAATGTAATACAGGGCGATCCTGTTCACCGGCAGGCCTGGACACCTATAACCCAGCCAGTTGTCTCTCTACCTCTGGTGTTGGTCAGCTTGGTCCCGAGTTCCTGCCCTTAGGGAGCTTGTCTTTCTAGAACTTGAGCTGACAGACGGTAGCCAAAGGAAATCAGAGCGCGTGCATGGGATAGACCTGGATAGAGTTATGTGCGCATGAGATGGGCCTCAGAAAGGAATACAGCGAAACCTTACCTTTGACACCCGACTTAATAGTTTTGGATGAAAAATACATTAGCTAAATTTGTGCCAAGCAGAAACTGTGATATGTTAGAATAATTCCATAGAAAACAAGTGTAACTTAATCAAAAACTGTGTGGAATGGTTATCATGTAGTTATTTAATATGAAATCAATTTGAATAATGTTGAAAAATACCCCTTTGAGCCCAATAATCTAAAAGTTTACAAACAAAAACTTCCTGTTCACATTAGCATGATGGTGCTGAGGAAATGGCTAGAAGAAGTGCCCAGTCTAACACGCTTCCTGTCACTGCAAACTAAGTAATACACCAAAACATACACACAAAGGCATGAGTGTGTTTTGGTATGAGCATGTGCATAATCTAAACAAACAGTAGTTCATGGATCATATCGACTGCAGCGTTGCATTTCACGGCAATGAAATAAGAAAAATACAGACTGAAAAAAAATTAACTACCTTGTCCAGGAAAATATATTAATATACATTAAAATAACTCAATAACAATGTCAAAACTAGACCAAATCCTAAATTTGTTCTACAACCTCAATCACTACAAATAAATATTTCTAGACCCCTTCTAGCTTGCCTCTCTTGAAAATGGGAGCACAGACACAAAACAGATATATCACAGCATGTGTTCCAGCTGGCACAGGACCTCCTCTAACATCTCATGCATCAGTCTGCCTGGAGCGCTCCCCTTAGAGCCCTGTTTAGTCCTGTGCAGCTGTAAATTCATCCATATGGATGAGATGGCCTCCTGTCGCAGCTGCATCAATGTGGGTCAGGCTGTCATAGAGGTGGCCTACTTTTTAACTACCTGTGCCACTTTTTTAGTTGGATCTGTCAGAGCTTCAGGAAGGATCAAGGTGACTGAGACTAATCATTACTTTGTGGTTCCATAAATAAGTTTAGGTGAAACTTTGCATATATCATATATTGACTGCTGCGTCGCATATCATGGTAATGAAATAAGAAAAATACACACTGAAAAAATAACCTACTTGATCTACCTTGTCCGGGAAAATATATTAATATATTAAAATAACTCTAACATGATGTCAAACCCAAATGACATAGACTACTGATGTCAAATGTAGTCTGCCATAAACTTTGGTACCTAGTCGATACTAAGAGAACAGAACCAATAGAAAGATGCTTGGTTTGGAAGCTATATGCATCGCTATAGATAGATAGATAGATAGATAGATAGACAGACAGACAGACAGACCTATGCTCTTGCTCACCTCCTCAATGTAGCTCTCCATGAAGAATCCACGAAACATGGCTGCCATCCAATCACAGCTTGAGATGAGCAGTGGCTTATGGGCTGGCAGATATCGGTCGTCCAATCTAAACACCACATCTAAAACCGGGAGGAAAAGATCACACATCTCGGCGTGTGTCACAGAGTCGAGGCTACAGAGGGGGAGACAGGTGGACGGACGAACACAAAGAGACAGACGAAGAGACAGATAGACACACAGACCAATAATAAATAGACAGACTGACAAGGCTAAGGATAAGAAGAAAAATGTGAAGGGAGGGCCAGACTGGGACCATATAGGGGGCAAATTTATTTTAGCAGCAAATCCTTTAAAGATTGACCTGGATGACTCCATGTGTTCACTGTGGCTCACTAATTATGTTAAACAATAAATGATGTTGAATAGGTTTTTTAGCAGTATACTGTGGGTATCAGGAGGGCATGATGTGAAAAAAGCACCTAATTAAATTCAATGCAGATTTCAACTCTACGGGGGGAAGCAAATAGATCTCTAATGATCCAGTTGATAAACTTCTGCATACCCATAGGGAATGTACAAGTAGTCTTCAGGCCACAATGGAGATGAAAAACGTTCTGGTTTTCAAACACGAGAGAAGCACCTTCATGGTTTGGTAATGAGATTATGACAATTGCAGATGAAGCAATGAAATAAACAGGTGTAAGTGGAGAGTACAGGAGTGTTGAAAAAGGTTAATTATGACAAACATGCAAACAACACACAAGACGTGACAACAACAGAGAGTACGCGACAGAAAACCACAAAGCAGAAAAGCAAACACAATATGCAAATATTCACTAACACCAATGAAGAGATATTATAAAGCACTCCACTGGGTATTTCCTCAAAAAAACAAGAGACTGAATGAAGGAAAGGAAAAACAAATTGTGTAAACTGACTGTTCTAGAGTATGAAGTATTCTATTCCAATTCCACTGAATTCTGGAATTGAAAATAGAACTTATGAGACTCAAGTCAATGGTGTCACTAATAAAACTTTTTGAATGTGACACGCTGACAAGTAATGGGAATTAGCTACCCAATAACACCAGAACGTCCTGAGGAATCTGCACTATACAAATTAGGACAGTTAATTAGTCAAAAAAAATCAATGAGAACTGTCCATTTATTGTTTATCATTCTCTCATCAACAGCAGTTTTTCAGTTGCTTGTTAAAGGTTATTATTATTGGAGAAAAGGCTTGATTCAGTTTCTCAGTGTAAAAGGATAGAACATTGAGCAGGGTAATTTATCAGGATACAATAATTAAAAGTTGTCAGGACATTTGGGTCACAAAATGATATGAACCGAGTTTCCATGTATGCATTGTGTTCTGGTTGTTAAAAAAGTTTTTGTTTGACTCTATCAAGTATGAATTTAATCTAGCATTGACAATATTACAATATAGATAGACAGATAGATCCTTCATTAATGCTTCTTCATACAGTAGATATATGTAATATGTAATGTTTGACCCTGATTTCAGATTGCCTACCAGCAAAGGTGCCCTTGCTCAGGCACTCTTTGATGCGGTTGGCACGACGCACATGGAAGGCTTTGGTGATCTCCTGGTTCATGAAGCTCTCACGGTTCAGCACATTGGCCACCATCATACGCAGGTCAAAGACCTCCAGAAGCTCAGCGATGGTGGCCACCTGCATCAGGTCCCCACGTGTCTCATCCAGGTGACCCGTATAAAGGTACTGCAGCACTGCCTGAAAAAGCAGAGAGAAGGGATAACAGATAATGTGACACTGCCATTGATATTTCATAGATATATCAAGTGAGATTCTTATAAAACATACCATATATTGCTATAGATTGTGTCACTTAAGTTTGTTCTTACCTGGAAAGGCCCTTTCTGAATGAGATCATCCATTGACACAACTGTCATGAGTCTCGGCCGACCTGTCACAGGGTCATCCACGGTTTCCAAGTACACCCCCAAGAAACCACGCCCCCATCCCAAAAGAGCACGGCCTGCTCCCAGGGGTCCCATAGAGCATTGGCCACTGGCAGGCAGAGCGTTATCGCTCTGTGAAGTCCTCAGTGAGCCCTGCTGCAACATGAGCAGCCTATTGGAACCCCTGGTGCCCCCTTCACCCTCCTTATCAATGTCCAGGCTCTTGGTACGCCCAGCCTGTTCTTTGGCTCCTCTTCGGCTCTGCTCCTCTTCTTCACTCCCCTCTGAGCTTTCCTCACCCTCCTTCTCCATCCCTACCGCTCCAAGATCCATAGTGAAAAGGTCATAGAACTTTGAGCAGGAAGTGGCCAGGTACACCTTATGGGCAAAGACACAAGTGGTCCCAGCCTGGAGTAGAAACAGGACATCTGCACACAATGGCTGGCAGAAAAGAGAGTCTGGACCTTCTCCATCCATGGGAGGAGGATCAGGGATGCCCACCATAGGTCGTGGTGGTCTGGGAGGGAGGAACGGTGCCTGGAGTAGGGGACGCTGAACCTTTTTTAGATGGGACTTCCAGAACTGAAGGTGGCGTCGAGAGATGAGTGCAGCACGGATAGCATTGTCAAACACATCCTTTACACCAAACTGAGCGACAATACTTGTTTCGTAGTATGGAATGCCGAGTTCCTTAGCAACCTCGTGGCCTCGTTCTGGAGGAAGGATGTCTGTGGGTTTGATGGTTCTAGGAGGAGAGGGTTAAAGAAAAGCAGAAGCATTGTTAAAGCCAGGCAAAATATATACACTACCATTCAAAAGTCTCATTCTTTCAAATTTCAATAATTATTTAACAAACTATAAAAACAGCAGCAACAACATGCCACTGGGAGACTTTTGTCCCAATTCGGTGGGTCCAACTTTACCTTTTCACTTCAAAATAAAAACAATTCACAGATTTTTTTTTTTTAAATCTTTAAAATGATTTTTACCTATCTTACAAGCCATCAAAGGCAAGTGCAGAAAATGCATAACTGACTACAAATGTATAAAGGCATACAATAACCCTCTCTAAACGGAAGCTCCTGAACACTTTTCATACTGAAGTTTAACAACAGAATATGTGATATGAGTGGGTGTAGGATGTGGTCCGTACTTGGCCAGAGGCCGGCGAGCCCGGTTAACAGCGTCCAGATCAGCATAGCGAAGGTCCAGCTGGCAGCCCACCAGGATGATCGGGGTGCGGGGGCAGAAGTGCTTAATCTCAGGGAACCACATGGTGCGGACATGGCGCAGGGAGTTCGGATTGGCCAAAGAGAAGCACAGCACTACTACATCTGATCTAAACACACAAAGAGAAAGAAATCGGTTTATTTTAAGAGAATACATCCGAAGAAATCATGTAATAGGCAGGAAATTGGCAAACCCTGGACACTAATCATCCTACACAAAGGCTTTAAAATGGACAGTGAATCAGTTATTGAAATAAAAACTGTGAAATGCAACAAACAAAAATACTGTGAGCTACTAAGTCTTTTCTTTGCTTTCAAAATGTCGTAAGACCAGACATATTGTTTTTTTCCATACACAAGTGTTACTTATGGCACTACTGTACACCAAAGTCATATTTATTTTCCATTATTTTAGTTACGTCTTTTACATTCAGTCATAATGGGATTTTTGAATAGATTCAAAGATCACAGCTCACTAATCATAATCAGTCTTTTGTGAAATGAAAATCGCTGTAAGACCATTTTTCCAGAGGCATGAACAAACTTCATAAAGAATTGTGTGTGTATTAATCAGTGTGTTCTCTTCCAGTGAATGTGTGAGCATGCAAGGTGTTATGCAAGTCATTAAAGCATCTCGTCTGATTCTTACCAGCACTGGTCTAATAATAGCGAGCTGTCCGACCATGTCATATTTCACAGCTGCACTCATAAGCTCATCATGTGAGACCAGCATACACAAGAATGACTAATGGAGCACCGCATTGTTGTTGTAATGTAAACAGACTTGGTCTAGCAGATTTCAACACAGTTATGCATTTACACTGGAAAGTGCTTCTGTGCATGTTTACAGATATAATATGACAGCCAATGTTTCTTAGACATTTCTAAGATATTTTCTAAAGATATAATCTTTCTAGAAAATACTTATTGACACCCTAGAGTGAAAATCTAGGGATTTTCTTAAAAAAGTTGCTTTATTATTGGCAAACACCTCATGTGTGACAAAGGAATTTCCCTGAAAACATAACATTACGAAAGTTGACAATCATAACATGTTTACTTCCTTTGGAAATACATTATTTTTTACATGCATGGTATGTTGACATTGCAATGGGATTGCCCATAAATGAGCTAGATGGGCTAAAGGCCCATTCCATTGTTTTTATTGTTGATCATCTAGGGAAAAAACATTATGAAAGTGATTCCAATGATATCGTTGCTCTAGTTGTGATGTGGACTCTGATATTCTTTTAAATTTAGAACAATTTTTAAAATTATATCTTTATTATTATAGTTATCATGCTTCATGTGAATGGGCCTTAAGTCTCTTTACGAAACTAAGACACACTAACATATATGTGCAAATGGCTAACAACCCAGTGTCTGTTTCTATTAGTGTACACATGTGTATGTTAAACAGGGGAATGTTTGCAAGAATATGTGGAAATGGGTCAGAGATAAGGCAAATAAAAAACAAAACACACACAGACTAACACATCTACAGATCTATCCACAATCATTCACCATCTCTCAGTGAATAATAACCACGTGTGCTGTAAAAGTGAGTGTTGAGGGTCATAAAGGACTGTGTTATGTAATCAGTATATGTGGTGTTCTGTAGAGCTATGTAGAGCATGTCTAAGTTCAAACTCCTGACTGTGTGTCTGCTTGACTACACAGTAAACACAGTCTTGATCACAGATACATATTTAAACATAAATCAACCTAAACATTCTGAGAACAACAAAACAACACAAAAACCGTAGTACAATGATGGTATCAGTTGGAAATAACATAGTACTTTACCATCGATGATATACTAATCTGTTCAAAATTACTTTTTTTAGAGAATACATCCGAAGAAATCATGTAATAGGCAGGAAATTGGCAAACCCTGGACACTAATCATCCTACACAAAGGCTTTAAAATGGACAGTGAATCAGTTATTGAAATAAAAACTGTGAAATGCAACAAACAAAAATACTGTGAGCTACTAAGTCTTTTCTTTGCTTTCAAAATGTCGTAAGACCAGACATATTGTTTTTTTCCATACACAAGTGTTACTTATGGCACTACTGTACACCAAAGTCATATTTATTTTCCATTATTTTAGTTACGTCTTTTACATTCAGTCATAATGGGATTTTTGAATAGATTCAAAGATCACAGCTCACTAATCATAATCAGTCTTTTGTGAAATGAAAATCGCTGTAAGACCATTTTTCCAGAGGCATGAACAAACTTCATAAAGAATTGTGTGTGTATTAATCAGTGTGTTCTCTTCCAGTGAATGTGTGAGCATGCAAGGTGTTATGCAAGTCATTAAAGCATCTCGTCTGATTCTTACCAGCACTGGTCTAATAATAGCGAGCTGTCCGACCATGTCATATTTCACAGCTGCACTCATAAGCTCATCATGTGAGACCAGCATACACAAGAATGACTAATGGAGCACCGCATTGTTGTTGTAATGTAAACAGACTTGGTCTAGCAGATTTCAACACAGTTATGCATTTACACTGGAAAGTGCTTCTGTGCATGTTTACAGATATAATATGACAGCCAATGTTTCTTAGACATTTCTAAGATATTTTCTAAAGATATAATCTTTCTAGAAAATACTTATTGACACCCTAGAGTGAAAATCTAGGGATTTTCTTAAAAAAGTTGCTTTATTATTGGCAAACACCTCATGTGTGACAAAGGAATTTCCCTGAAAACATAACATTACGAAAGTTGACAATCATAACATGTTTACTTCCTTTGGAAATACATTATTTTTTACATGCATGGTATGTTGACATTGCAATGGGATTGCCCATAAATGAGCTAGATGGGCTAAAGGCCCATTCCATTGTTTTTATTGTTGATCATCTAGGGAAAAAACATTATGAAAGTGATTCCAATGATATCGTTGCTCTAGTTGTGATGTGGACTCTGATATTCTTTTAAATTTAGAACAATTTTTAAAATTATATCTTTATTATTATAGTTATCATGCTTCATGTGAATGGGCCTTAAGTCTCTTTACGAAACTAAGACACACTAACATATATGTGCAAATGGCTAACAACCCAGTGTCTGTTTCTATTAGTGTACACATGTGTATGTTAAACAGGGGAATGTTTGCAAGAATATGTGGAAATGGGTCAGAGATAAGGCAAATAAAAAACAAAACACACACAGACTAACACATCTACAGATCTATCCACAATCATTCACCATCTCTCAGTGAATAATAACCACGTGTGCTGTAAAAGTGAGTGTTGAGGGTCATAAAGGACTGTGTTATGTAATCAGTATATGTGGTGTTCTGTAGAGCTATGTAGAGCATGTCTAAGTTCAAACTCCTGACTGTGTGTCTGCTTGACTACACAGTAAACACAGTCTTGATCACAGATACATATTTAAACATAAATCAACCTAAACATTCTGAGAACAACAAAACAACACAAAAACCGTAGTACAATGATGGTATCAGTTGGAAATAACATAGTACTTTACCATCGATGATATACTAATCTGTTCAAAATTACTTTTTTTGTATATATTGTAACGGGAGGAGCACACGACAAACACAGTGGGTGTGGCGTCAGGCCTCGGAGAGGCTTTTTATTAACAAAATAATACACACAAAGTGTCCAGGGAAAAGGGGAAGTTAGTGTCCAAAATAAAACAGGGGATCTGGTGTCCTCGTCGTGCTGCGGGCTTCGTGCAGGGAAGGGCAGTGATCAGGAAGGAAGGGTCCAGGTAAGGGGCGGAGTCCGGCGGCCGCACGCGTTCCCATTCTCCAGTCCGGGACGCGAGGGGCGGCGGCTTCTTCCAGCGGCGGCATCCTTCTCGCCTTGGCCCCGGCGGGTGAAGGGTCTAGACGGCCCGGCATCCTGGCCCGACGGCCGTGTAACAGGTGCGGCTCTCGTCCGGACCACGGGTCCGGTAGCTCGCATCTTCGGCGGCCCGGAGATCCCTCAATGCACCCTTCCTGGACCCACGAGGACACCAGCGTGCATGCACGGGGAAGAGACCGCCCCCCTGAGGAGAGGCGCGCTCGGCATTTTAACAGCGGCGGTGATGAGGCTTCATTCTGTTCAGGTGTGCCCCATCACACGCCGCCAGCCCTGGCTATTTCAGCGCCCCTCCTCTCTCACGACTCCACTCCTACACAGTAAACACAGTCTTGATCACAGATACATATTTAAACATAAATCAACCTAAACATTCTGAGAACAACAAAACAACACAAAAACCGTAGTACAATGATGGTATCAGTTGGAAATAACATAGTACTTTACCATCGATGATATACTAATCTGTTCAAAATTACTTTTTTTGTATATATGCATTTATGATATGCATATGTTTATGTATAAATATGTGTTAGCCCATGGAGGAGGGCTTCCCCACTGAGGCATGGTTCCTCCAGAGATTTCTAAAAGTTTGGATCCTTTCACTTGCGCTTCACAATGTGATTTGTCAATTTTTGTTCACAAATAATTAATGGACTCAGCTAGGCTTTGATAAACATTTTCAAGAAATGTTAAATGTGTCTGTGTGGATGTGTATTTAGCTTAAGTAATAGACCCCAGCGGTGAAGGTCACCTGATTTTATGTTTCCATAACAGGGTACCACCATTAATAGTGCTTTATCAGCTGACTGCATCTGCCTCAGTACTGCGCACACACTGGACGTGTCTGATCTCACAGACACACATCCTGTGGATTCATTCACACAGATTTCATCTGCTCTCCTTCTCTCTGTCTGCTACACAAGTACATACTAAAAACACACCACATTCACAACGCTATTATATTGTTAAAATATTGGATGAATTATATAATCAAAACCTTAGTCTACTCAGTACACTACTGTTCAAAAGTTTGGGGTCAGTAAGATTTTTTTTTTTTTGACAAATGAATAGCTACTTTTATTCAGCAAGGATGCAATAAATTGATCAAAAGTGACAGTAAAGACATTTATAATGTCACACAAGATTTTTATTTCAAATAAATGCTTTGCATTTGAACTTTATATTCATCAAAAGATCAAAAGTTCATCAAACCACAAATTTCTAAAACAGCAACTGTTTTCAACACTGATGATAATAAGAAATGCTTCTCAAGCAGCAAATTAGCATATTAGAATGATTTCTGAAGGACTGGAGTAGTGACTGTTTTGTTTAAAAAAAAAACAAAAAAACATTCAAAAATCTTACTGTCTGCAGTCCTTTAAATGGTAGTTTATCTGATGTGTGGGTACTTTGTGTGGTCAAAGATCTGAGCTGGTAACAAAAGACCACAGGTTCAGTCCCAGTTTGTTTTCTCAGAAAACAAATTAGCATTTACTGAAAAACCCAAATATGATTGAGAAAAATGTGGGAAACTGTTCTCATACATCTGTAAAAAATTATTAAAAATTAGCACAATTTGTTTGCAGATGCTATATTGTTTGATATTGTGTATTTAATGCAACAAAATTCCTATATTTTAAGTGTGACTTAGATGTTCAAATACCTCAAATATCTCTTCTTGGCTCAATGGCTATTGTGATCTGCTGCACTGCCCTGAGCCAAAGCACCACTGCTGATCCACTGATCCTCCACTGCGCCGAGAATAAGAGCCTCCATGCAGTGCTCTTTGGCTAGGCTTACAGCACATTACCTTTCCAGCTGGGAGGATTAGGGCAATAACCAAAACTTGGAAGGGCAACACATGACACAGCCAAGAGTGGAGAGATACCAGAACAATCAAATGGAAGATTGATCTGAGCAACTGTATTGTGGGACATCAAGTGTGTTTGTATCAAGGGGTTTAGTGCCATGGCCTAACGATTAACATGCTCATGTCATGAGACATTGAGCACTATGAGTTCAAATCCAGCTCCATATTGTGTAACTGACCTGCCATAAGCGAAGCGTCTGTCTTTGTGATGATCTCCAAATGTGTCCCACAGCCTGAGGGAGACACTGACCTCGTCCACCACGTCTCGTGACCTCTCCAGCACCTATTCAAAATACTTTTGTTTAATTGTACCAGTACACCAATGCAAACACATTATATTCATATTACTCTCTCTGCAATGCATTTAAATGTAATACTAAGTAAATTGTAGTTTGTTTTTTGTTTTTTCATTTGCAATGATGGCCTGGTAAAGCTAAAATTACAGCAAATGTTTTATTTTTGAATTTTATTTATTGAATTCAAATATTTTATTAGTATACTTTATTTTATATTTATATTAATTGCTTACTATATATATATATATATATATATATATATATATATACACACACACACTCGCAAATATACAAATAAATAAATTGTATTATAAAATGTACATAAAATGAATATTTTACCAGATTTATTTTTCCCCTCTATTTTAACTATTTTATATAAACTAAAGTATATAGTACATAAATACACCCGTTAATTAAACAGGTTGTACTCCATTGCGATGTTTATATGTACTTTTCAATTTGACTGTAACTTTTCCACTACAATGTTAGACTTCCGACAAATGAGATGTACAGTATTTATGTCAACACTCAATGCTCTTCAACATGTACACAATATGCCAAAGGTCTGCCCACCTCCTGGCACACACGGTATTGGTCGATGGCCCAGACAGTTGGCACGTGGGTGGCAAGCAGCTGGTACTGAGTAAGGGTGGCATTGCAGGCACGGGCACAGATCAGTCGGGTCTTGCCCACCGCATTATCACCCACCACCACACACTTTATGGTCTCCACATTAGGTCGCTCATAATCTGTGTCTATATCCATGGAGAGGGCCCTGAAAGACAGAGAAAGAGAGAGGCAGTTTAAGTGCTGCTAATCATCATTGTATTGATGAAAAAGATGACAAAACTCAAATTTCCATTTATATTTAACTTACAATGAATCAAAAATAAAAATAACAAGAGTTACAAAACAATAATAAAACATTCAATTCGGTCCATTCACTGTGGTGACTCAAATCAACATCCACAATAATGAATGGCGTCACCAATACTGACTACTCATTCACCAAATGTTCAAAGTTTAAACAAAAATCTGGGTCAGGTGCTATTTCTGTCTGAGGAAGGAACAACAAAGACAGCCAACACAGTTCTGCACTTGGCTATAGAGTGTTTCAAAGTGTGCGAGTTTCAAAGTTGACGTGAACAAGTGCATCTAGCACATTTTTTTTTTTTCTTTTTAAAGTCTTAGAAGAATCTACCTAAATCTAACAAAGCCCAGTGGCAAACGCTGATTTGTATGAGAGAACACAGCTAAGCCAGATAGCATTAAAATGCACACTTTGTCCAGGATACTGAAACAAACATCGTTAATACAAACACTCACATACTGTAAACATTGACTTAAACCTCCTACTAGGTATCAAGACTGCAGCTCTCTGCAGAGAAAAGAAGAAGAAAAAACGACTCTGCTCAGGGATGCAGCTGAAACAAACCATTAGGAGACCTGCGTGCCAACACATATGACTGTAACTTAATATCCATGACAACTAGCAAGTTCTCTTTTAGGTTCAAACAAAAGCAAGCAATGTGAGATCGCTTTTTTTCCCTAAAACAATGACAGATTTTTGTTTTGTAATGAATGCAGACATTTGTTCAATAAGCTGCCTTGCAGATAGTCGCGTAAATTTGAGCATGCGCACATAGCTGTATAAAATTAATTAATATTAATACACCACTATAATAAAAGAGGCCATATGAAATTAAATACAAATGATTTTGGGAAACGTAACTCTTGGTCAACTAAGAGCAGTGCATTATTTTGACACAGCTAAAGTGATACAGCTATCTACATTACAAGCCGCCCTGAGCTCCGCTGTCCAAGTCAGCTAACGTTCCATAAAAAGAGCTCATGAAAGATTAATACGGCCACTGTTTATTGTTCCACTGACAAAGACGTCACAGTTCTGGCCCCCAATGACATGCTGGGGTCTAAAAATTATTCTCATTCATTCAATTCATTCTGAGTAGCAAGGTGCCAATTCTGACCATGATTAGCAAACTTAAAAAACGGCCCATAATAGGTCAAGAGATGTTTAATCTAGAGCAGCAGTGCTCAGTTAATTCCTCATGAGGGGAATGTTACAGCCAGCGTCGAGATTTTGGATCAGTGAAGAAGGTTTCAGAGAACTGTTGTCGGTGGGGGTGCTCTGAAGGAAGCTTCTTTCACAGGTTACACAACAACTACGGCACAACAGGCTGATGAAGCTGAGCTGTAAATGTTACATCTTTATGTTATCTAACAATAATCTTTATAACTGTTCTGGAAGAGTCACCAACATGTATAGAGGATGTTATAAAGTTAAAGATTATTATGACTGCATATTAAAAATGCTAAAAATATTTAAAACAAATTAGCTGGGAGACCATAACCTAATTTTCAAAAAAACAGACTTGAGAATGTTTTCTCACCGTGCAAAATGTAGGGTAGTGGGTAAGGTGAGAGCGGAGGCTTGTGCACTTTAAGGAATCAACCAAAATATTTCCACTATTAAGCTCTATTTGAACATGTTTAATGGGGTCATTCGATGCCCATTTTCCACAAGTTGATATGATTCTTTAGGGTCTTAATGAAAAGTCTGTAATATAGTTTGGTTAAAATTTCTCAATGGTAGAGTAAAAAACACCTTTTTTATCCTGTCAAAAACAGCTCTTTTCAGAGCAAGCCGTTTTGTAGCATTTTCCTTTAAATGCTAATGAGCTATGCTGACCCCGCCCCTGCTCTCTGAGGGACTGTTTACTTTAGCCACATTCATCGTGAAACTTGCTAATTAGCACATTATTAGGAAAGGCGATTTGCAAAGATTCATTAAAAAACTTTATACTCACTTCTTCTGTAGGTGAAGCTGGATCAGGAATGATTCGCACGAACATAGACGCATTTAGGTAGATCGGGGGCGCATTCCTTCAAAAACAAAAGTAATCCACTGCGAGTTCAGCGGCTCAGATGTCGGGAGTAAATGACGACTGCTATGTTCATTATTAAAAAATTAGTACTTTTATCAAGCAACATTAAAGACATTTACATTTTTAGATGAACTTTTTAAGAACACTTGGTGAGAATGTCTACAAACTGACTATACATTTTCCTTTTGTGACACACACAAACAAATGTGTATAATAAAAGCAATGATACCAGAGACATGTTGTCTCATGAAGCTTTAAGCAGAGTCAGTTGAGTGAGTCAGTGTTTTGTCATGGGGAATGAGACGAGCAGTGTGCCACACTAACGCTTGTTTTAGTGACAGGCAGTGATAGAAACAGTGGGAGGTGAGGTCTGAGAATGAGCGAGAAAGAAAGAAAGAGAGAGATGAGACGCGTGGCAGACGCCCACTCCATTCACAAACACTGTACGGCCCACACAACAGTTCGTCTGCTTGTATTCAGTCCTGCCAGCCTCAGTGTGTGTGTATCTGGATATGTAGGTAGGTATATAGAGAGAAGAATATCACAGCAAGTGGACCAACTACACCCCACAAGCAAATATGGCAATGAACAATAAACTGTTTTGTTAGGCTATAATAACTTTGTATAGCGCACTCAAGCTTTTTTTCTCCACATATTTCTTATGGCAACCACTAAAATTGAAGTATGGATTCAAACGAAATATTTTGAGGATCTCCTCATTAGATAAATCTCAACCAAGACTATTCTTCAGTAAGTCTGACCGTCCTTTCCCTCTCTGTACATCTGTCTTTCTAAACAGCAGGGCAGTTGAGACTTGCTCACCCCTCCTGCACTGCATGTGTGTCTGTGTGTGTTACATAACAGCTCCAGTGGCCAAAGCTGCTCTCTCTGCCGTAACATAACCAGAATCCACAACTAACCCTTGCTCTTAGAGAGCACCTGCAAAGCTCTACCCTTAAAAAAAAAATCCAAATATACTAAATCAACCCTAACCATACAAACACATACACTGGGTGTTAACCCCTGCCTGTCATAGTAACCTACTTTCTGCAATTTCCGCTAATGCTTCATACAAGGTTTTTCGCCCTGAGCATGTCCGCATGAATGTTTATAAAGGCAAATTTATAAGCATTTAAAGAGGGGACGTGTAAAGTAAAGACAGGCTCTGCCATGAGTGTAGACAACTTATGTAACGTGGTGTTCTCCTGCCTGCCAGTAAACAGGTTAAAGTAGAGCAGCATTTTGCTGCGCACCAGATTTGACACAGTGTTTGCAAATACCCAACCGCTCCAAAATACTGTCCTCTAGCAAACACTGAGCTAACCAATGCACCCCGCAGCGTAGCACCTTGGAGTGTCTTGAACTGCAAAGAGTCTGTGTCTCTTAATGGATCGATCACATTTTATAGCTAGCCAGCAAAGTCGTTCAGAGTGCCGAGTCCTCCAGATCAGAGAATGAGTTAGATCTTTCTCCTTAATGCCATCAGCCACTGGGGAGTAACGGGAATTAACCACTGAAACACTGGGAGATCTACTGTGCCAGCATGTCCGATAGCAGTTTCAGTGAAACACATTAAGGGCGTTTTCACATGCAGTGGTCGCAAAAAGTCTGGATGCTTAAGTCACATTTATTGTACGAATGTCTTTGCATTTTATAACAAAATAACTAACCAAGCGGAAATTATTTTAAAGAAATATTGCATTTTTACAATTTTTCTTACAGCAAAACAGACAAAAACAAGTTTGTTAGGTTTCAAATTATAAAGTAGGGCTGCACGATATATCGTTTCGGCATCGATATCGCAATGTGCGCATCTGCGATAGTCACATCGCAGGGTGTTCGATTTTGAGTATAGTGATCGTTAATCTGTATGGACCAGGGTTCGAAACACAGGTGATTCTTGGATTAATTGCAAAGTTTAAGCATCATACAATCAAGGTTCATCATTTTCATGTGTTTTAGGTCCTGTCGGTAAAAATAGTTAAGCGATTTTAAACCATTTGAGCGCGAGAAGGCGCAAAATAGAGCTCAATTATGAACATGCACTGTTTTCTGTGCTCACACACAGAGCCAAGCAGATGCACATGAACACCGAATTCCATTAACTTCGTCTATTTGTGCCTAAAATGACAATTACTTGCAAAATGATGTCAAAATGCATGTATCTGTAAGTAAATAAAGTTGCTTATGGCTTAGTAGAATGTAAACAATTGAGAAAGAAAATGGATGTGTAACAGTATATTGGTTCACAGCCGTTTATGTTCCTGTTGCTTTCTGTGTCATGAATGTTAATCAAACAACAAAACACATAGAGCAAAATCACTTTTGTAGCTTTAACACAGATTTATTAGATTTAATTTATACAGTGAAGACTATGCAATGTTATTTTACATTTGATTGTATCTTTGTTCTATTATATTTATCTATGCTTGTAATTTGTTTGTTATTTTCTATGCAGATTTACTCACCTACAAAATAACCTCAATCATAGATAATTTTTTTTTCATATAGAGCTATTCAAGTCATCTGGTGATTTTTTTTAAATATCGCAATATATATTGCAAAAAAACAAAATATCGCAATGCGAGTTTTCCAATATCGTGCAGCCCTATGATAAAGTGCACCTGAAATTGTATCTTTGAGTCAGGCATTAGTTATTATGACATGTCACCCATTCAAGTCAGAAACACGACAGAAATAGCTTTAAAAAATAAAAGATTAATATTATGAACACTAAACCCAAAAAAACTAACTAAATTCAAAATGATGAAAATTATTCAGTTCTGTATATGTGGTATCAAAACTAAATGTTTGTGTTATATAAAGCAAACTGCGAAAATCTTACTTTTACACTTGTCGTCTGTCAGCT